GTTTTTGGCGATAACATGTAAAATTTATAATTTATCTAAGCTAATTCATAGATTTTCAATAAATAATTTATTCTTAGTTATATTATTTAGATTTAATCTACATAACGTTAGGTTTCAGTTTGGTTATTTTAAAGGTAGTTTTTATATGTAAGAGAAAAATATTCTTATAAGATTTTTTAATCTACCATTTACTTTAATTGTAATATAATAAAAATAAGAGTAATTATAAGAATAATCTAAAGTAACTAAAACTCGATTTTAAATCATGAATTTCAAAATTCATGTACTTATTAGAAAATAGTTGCAATCAAATCAATTACATAAAAATAAATAGTTCATTTACTTTAAATTTATTGTCATTAGCCAATCTTATTTATTAAAATCATTCATAAATTAGGTTCAAATCATTCCTCAAAAGTAGGAAATAAACTGTACAAAAATATTGACGAAGATATAAAAATAATATTAAGATAAAAGTAAAATATGAAAGAATGATCATTTTTTAATTCATTTAAATTGGAATTATTATTTTTTCACATTTAGAATAGTTTTGAAAATATGTGAATGAAAATGATAATGCATGCATGACAATGTTATGAGGTCAACAATAACTTATCGTTGGATATAGATGGGTACCTTTAATCAATCAAGGATGTTATTGTTCCCAATCTTTTTCAAGTAAATTTTATTTTTCAAATAATTACGACTTTAAAGACATTTTTAAATAATTTCTCTCATGTCATTATGTCTTATGTCATTATATCCAGGGAGGAAATATATATCTAAGTATATATAAAATATTATAGTTGCAAATATAATTGAATTTGCAACCACTATAATCAAAATAATAGAGAAAGAAAAATTCAAACTTAGTGGTTAGCTTCCAATCAACAATAAAAAAATGAAATGATGGTTATAGCAAATTCGAGTTATTTTTTCAAAGAATATGACACACAAAGAAGACATTAGAAAACTATATTATGATGGCAATAAAGATGATAATTATTTTAAGCATAATGAGGATATTATTAGATAACAAAATCAAAGACGACATAGATTTCATTTAGCATTTAAAATTTCACAAAAAAAAATATTAATTTTATTTTGGATTTTCAACCCAATTTTTATTTTATTTATCATAATAATATAAAATATAATATTTCACTATTCAATATAATTTTTATTGTTTATCATAAAATACACCATTTTTTGTTAAACTAATGGAAAGAAAGTTTATTATACTATTAAATATAAATCTAATAAAAAAACTTTAAATGAAAAAAAAGCAACAATATCACGTGCACGTGCATCTTCCTAGTGTAAGAAAAAACCATATTCCAAGGCAATTTTCATAATTCTCAAAGTTGGCTTCTTCTTGGGTGAGTTTTGTTTTTACCTGTTTTAACTGAACACAAAGATACTTTAATACTTCATCATTGAATCTCGCACAGTTCAAGATATGAGGCTGACTGTTGTTGTTAACTCAGGATATCTCTTGCATCAAAGATCTGGTTTCACTATACGAAGCTGCCACAGTTGAGGATGTCTATACTGCGTATGAGCAGTTGCAGATTGACGAATATTCGTTGTACTCTTGCGTTGGAATTGCTGGGGCCCAGGTCGGGGAATCTGTCGAAGGTAAAAGAGAAAATCTAATGCTAAAAGTATTTTTTTTTATTCTTTTGCAGGCATAAGTTTGGAGCTGTGTGCAATTTATTTCGTAAGGTTGATAGTATTTGTTTATTTCTAAATACAATTTTGCTCTACAGCTTCCCTGGTAGAGGAGGAATCAGTTGAGGGCTTCCACAATGTTATTCCCATTGGCCGGGGCTCATCCACTGTGACACGCCCAACTATGTGAAAGTTTGTTTTCAATAGCAGCACATTGCATAGGTTGTTGGAGTATTACACAGCTAAATTTCAGGTTTATTAGAAAAAACATAGATGCTTTGGAAAAATCGCAGAAAAACTCTCTTGTGGTTTGATTCTGTTTATAGTACTTATCCTCTCATATGAAAAATGTTTCCAGAAGATGTATCATTTACGAAAGTATTTTCAGTTACCCCCCTAATTTTGATACAGACCCAAACTGCAAAGGAGATTT